TTTCTTATCCTAGGACCTAGGTGCATAAATTTTATCTGTGCAGAAATTTTTCAGTTTCATGTAATCAAAATTATCTACTTTATCTTTTGTAATTGCCTCTTTCTATTGTTTGGATAAGAATATATTGCCTACTCATACCTGTGAGAAGTATATGATCTGTTTCTATTCTAACTTTTTAATAGTGTGATTTTTAATATTAAGGTAACATAACCATTCAAAATGTATTCTGGCATAAACCGACATCTTAATTTATATGTCAAAAAACATTCTGTAATGAAGTCTATACAAGTTTTTAGGTGCTTTGGTAGATTGATCAGCAGATATTTTATACATTTTGTAGTTATTTGGAATGGGATGTCCTTCCTATTTTCTCCTTCTTGTGTTTTGCTGTCATTATATAGAAATGCTGCTGATTTTTTGAGGATTTATTTTGTAGCTTGCAACTTTGCTGAAGCTATTGTCTCAATTAGTATCTTTGCTGTTTCCCCAGAAATTTTCAAGTATACGGTAATATATCATCAGCAAATAGGGATAGTTTTATCTCCTCTTTATGCCTTTATCTATAATTTTAAGGCTTTAATTTCTGCCTTTAGTTTTCTAATTATTCTTTTTATTTCTAATGGTTTTGTTATAATTTCATCTCACTCTTGCTATTTTATTGGTTTGATTTTCTACTCTTTCTAATTAGATTATCTAAAGATTTATAAATTTTATTAGTCTTTTCAAAGAACCAGCTTTTAGTTTTAGTTATCAGCTCTATAGGGGTTTTTGTTTCCAATTTCTCTTTCCCCTCTCATTGTTAATACCTCCTCTTTTGTGCTTATTTTGTGTTAGTTCATTTGTTGGCTTTCTCACTTTTAAAAATGAATATTCAGTTTATTAATGGGATATGATTTTTCCTTGAAACTGCTTTAGCTGCATCCCAGAAATTTTGGCATGTTGTTTATCCATTTTCATTTTCTTTCATATAGTTATTCATTGTTTCAATGGTTTGTTCTTTGACGCACTCGTTATTTAAGATTCTATTGTTAAGTCTATTTAGGTCTGTCTCTTTTGTTTGTAGTCCTCAAACCAATGACTTTTTATTACATTATAATCTGTAAAGGTATATTCACTATTTCTGTCTTTTTCCATTTTTGGCAACATCTCTGTATCCTAATATATAGTCAATTTTTGTAAAAGTTCCAGGTAGTGCTGAGAAATATTTAAATATATTTTTTTGCAGTCCCATTTAGAGATGCCCTAAGTTTTTTCTTTAAACTCTAGTTTCTCCAGCAATTTGTCTAGTTCCATATTTTCCCTTTTGTTCATCTTTTCCCCATCCCCTAGGACTTTCTTTATACCTCAATCCCAGACACATTTGAAAACACATAATAATTTCCTTTGGGAACATTATCTTCAAAGACAAAGGGCAGCTGAGTTTTAAAACTATACATTGAGAGAGAGAGAGAGAGAGACAGAGAGAGAGAGAGAGAGAAAGGTATCATCTACTGGGAGTCAGAGATAAGACAACAGAGCCAGAGTAGTCTCTGAGTGTGGCACTGATAGCTGGAAAACAAAAGACACAAAAGAAGGCCTCTGCTCAGTAGACCCTCCAATGAAAGCTTGTCAACAGCCATAAGCAAGAATCACAGAGAACAGAAAGAGGAATCCAATTTTCAGTCTTCACCAGTGATAACTGATCCACTGAAATGTGTGTGTGTGTGCTGTGTTCGCTCATGCATACTCATGCATATGTATAGACTTGGTATGTATGTGTGTATATATATTTATATATTTATGAGCTTTAAAATAATAAGACATCTATATCATACTTTAAAGTTTACGCAGTGTAATAGTCATAAAGATAGAGATTTTTAGTAATGGAATTTATTTCCTATGGGAATTCTGACTACTATACTATTGAATGTTTTGCACCTAGCTGACAGGAAGCCCCAAAAGTGTATTCTTAAAAATCTGTCCTATCAGTGTATATGTGTATATATACACATACATATATGTGTGTTTATATGTCATTTATAGTAATATATCATATTCATAATACATTGCATATGTACATATAATAACTATGTAGTTATATTTATATATGTAGTGCTTTAAGGCTTCCAAAGAGTTTTATAAATATTTTTGTTGTTGTTAACTGGTCGTTTTCAGTCTTGTCTGACCTCAATTGGGGTTTTCTTGGCAAAAATACTAGAATGGTTTGCCATTTCATTCTCCAGTTCATTTTATACTTGAGGGACTGAGGCAAACAGGGTTAAGTGACTTGCCCAGGGTCACACAGCTACTAAGTTTAGTCTGAAGCTGGATTTGAACTCAGGAAGATGAGTCTTCTTGACTCCAGGTCTGGTACTCTATCTATTATGCTACCTAGCTGCACTTTCAATTGTTTCTGACTTTTTGTAACCCCTTTTGGGGTATTCTTGGCAAAGATATTGGAGTGGTTTGACATTTCCTTCTCCAGCTCATTTCACAGATAAGGAAACTGAGGCAAACAGGGTTAAGTAATTTGCCCGGGGTCACACAGCTAGTTAAGTGTCTAGGCTGGATTTGAACTCAGGTATTCCTTACTCCAGGTCTAGTACTCTATCTATCCACTGTGCCACCTAGATGAATATATATATGTATATATGTGTGTGTATATATGTATATATGTACATATATATACACACATATATTTGTATATATGTATATATATATACACACACACATACACATACTACATTTTCACATAATGTATATATACACACACACAAATACACAGGGTATCTCAAAAGCTTTAATAGCTTAAAACTGCTCTAGACTTTTCAGACACTAAATATATATCAATCAAAGCAAGCAGCTGCTTCTCCCCTGATACATACACAAAGAGAAAGGTGTAATGTGTGAGTGAGAGAGACAGAGAGAGAGAGGGAAAGGGAAAGACACAGAGAGAGAGAGAGATAGAGAGAGAATACAGTTAGTATAGTCTACCCTATGTATTTGAAAGGCAGTGTGGTGCATTAAGCCTTCAACTCACTAAGATCTGGGTTCAGCTCCAAACCCTTAAGTATACAAGCTGCAGGACCCTGGGCAAGTCACTTAATTTCTCAATCTTCCTGGCAACTTCCTAAGACTGTAAGTTAGAGTCAGTGGTGTACTGGTAGCTCTCTTTCTCAAAAAAAAAAAAAAAAAGACATTTTCTGCATTAACATTTTCTTTATGCATTCTTAAGTCTAGACAATCAACAAAACAATAAATTGAGCCCATTAGCAGTTGCTGATTCCAGAGATGTAAATGCTCATGCTGAAAATTTAGCAACAGCTCTCACTAGCTCAAAGGAACTGGTTTCAGCACAAACCTGGTTAGTCTAGTTCAGGGGTGGGGAACCTTGGCCTCCAGGCCACGTGTGGCCCTCTAGGTCCTCAGATTTAGCCCTTTGACTAAATCCAAATTTTGGATACAGGTTCCCCACCCCTGGTCTAGTTGTTGATCTATATTGGGTGGGGAGAACTTTTGTATTCTGCAGCTCTGGCAATCTGGTGAAGCCTAGTGAATACCCTTCTCAGAATAATGTTTTTTAAATACACAAAATAAGATGCATGGGATTACAAAGGAAATCAATTATATTGAAATAGTTCTCAAGATAATTAAAAACCATATTCGCAGACCCCCTGAAATCTAGGAGGAATGTGGACCCCAGATTAAGAACCCCTGCTCTTACAAGACCAAAATTTTTAAAAATTTAAAAAAAAAAGTCCAGTGACCCTCCCAGAGAAGAATGCTGTTGTCTTCCTTTTTTCCCTGCTACATAGGAAACTTCCTCTCCTGAACTTCCTCTTCATATTTTTCTCCAGCAAGAGATAAACACTCGATAAGTCTTTTGTTGGGGCCTAAAGGTTCATTATGACCACTGTAAAGCTTGAGTAAAGAAGGTTGGGTAAAGGTGAAGAAGGCAGGGGAGAAAAATAACTGCAGCATTCCTTTTTGTATTGCTTCTTCCTGGTGATGGGGTCTCTCCCAACCTACAGAGGACAATCCAGTCTTTCCAGGCCCCCCAGCGTGCCCTTTGGATCAGACCTCAATAACAATATTCAGTATATACACAGTACTGAAAAGAAATTCGGCCAGTTTCCCGTCCCCGTGGGGGGAGAATGCCCCAAGAGGGAGGAGCATTATTTTAGGATCAAGTCTACAATTGTAGGCTCCAGTGACAATAGTGTAGCCCCGTGTTCCTTTGAGTTTACGTATTTTGAGGGTTTGGGGGCTTATTTTCCTTTATATATTACTCAGTCACCAAACATTTATTATCGGTTATGTACCAGGCACTGTACACCACAGATAGAAAAAAATCAAAGTTCTTGCCCCCCAGTACCTTACATTCTACTGTACACCTAGAAGTGTATAATGAATACAGGTAATGGGGGGCAGGGAGCAGTAGGAGTTGACGGTGGAAGATCAGAAACGGCTTTATGTAGGAGACGTGGCATTAGAGACCAGCGTTGAAAGAAAATTCAAATTGTGAGCTCCGTCAGGGAAGGGGCTGTCTTTTTGCCTTTTGATGTATCCCCAGCTGTTCGCACCGTGCCTACCGAGCACACGGTAAACGTCGATTGGTTTGACCTGACTTGCCTAGGGTTCCACTCCGTCTTGGTCCCCTTTTGTAAAACGAGGCTCTCTGAGGTCCCTGGCTCCCCGCAAGCCGAGGAGCCGGAGGCTCGGTTCCCTGCTGATTTTGCAGTCCTCATCCATTGGCTCGCCGGCGATAGCGCAGGTGGTCCGATCGCACGGAGCCAGCCCCCGGAGGTCGCTCAGCGCACCTCCCCTCCCCCTTCTCCTCCCACGTCCCCGCCCCCCGCTCTTCCAGAGCGCAGGCTGGGCTCCGGCCGCGCCGCACCCCCGGAGCTGGGGGAGCCGGATTGGGCGGAGGGGCGGGGACGCGGGAGGTGGGCTGAGCTGGGCGGGCCGGGGGGAGGGAGGGGACAAAGCCGGGGAGGAGAAGGGGTCGAGCGGGGCTGCCAGTGTCTTCCTCGGCGTTCGGGCAGGCGGCGGCCCGAGCAGTAACCTGCAGCCCCGGCGCTGAGCGTGAGCGTGAGCCATCCGGCGCTTCCTCTCCTTGGCCCTCGCCCGGCTGCAGGTAACGGGGCGTCAGCTGGGGCCCCTGCTTCCTGCGGCTTGGGGGGGGGCGGTGGATGCGGTGACTGAGAGGGTTTCGCTTTACTCTGGGCGGAGCTGGGGAGCAGATACCCTGCCACCCCGCCCCTCCCCCTCCAGGCCTCTCCTGTTTAAAGGTCCTAGGGCACCCTTAGAGCCTTAGAGCGGTTGGAGCCGGGGGTGGAGGGAGGCCACCCCCCACTCCACCCCACCCCCGCTCGTCCAGGAATGAGGAACTGAGCCAGCGCTTGCCTAGCACCTCTTTTTTGCAACTTGTCAAGCAGGCAGTAAACACATTAAGCGCCTATTATATGCAAGGCACTGTGTCAGGCGCCTACTAAGTGCGAGGCACTGTGCTAATGGCTGGGGACACAGAAGCATGTGACGGCCGGCCGGGAGACCTGGGCACATTGGGGACACTTTCGGGACTCACTAAACCACACGAGCCAACCCCCCCCCCCCCCGCACTCCCCGCACTTCCCTAGGTGAGAGAACGTTCCTTATCGTTAGCACGGGCACACGCCCGGGGCCACAAGTACGCACCAAGAGACATTCGTGTTCCTCTTCACCTTTAACCGAAAAGTGCTTCGGGGGCTCCCAGGTGCCCTTTGCCCACCCCAGATGAAGTTTGACTCGAATCCAGCTAAAGCTAGCAGGTCCACACTTAGAAACTTAACCTGATCTTGACGAGGGTCTTGTGAGCTGGTCGTTACCATTTTCATTACCATTTTATCTTCGGTGGGGTTTTGGGGCTATTTTTTTCCCTCTCTGGAGTGAGTGGTTTTTGTCTTTGTTTTTAAATCTTTCGTTGGTGGGGATGGCGTGGAGGGGAGGAATCCTTTTGGATAAATCTGTGGGAACTAAGATGTTGGGGTAACAGTTCACTCAGTAAACTTTAAGGTCTTGTAAAGGGCTTTATCCCATTTGATCCTTTCAACTCTGAGAGGATCAGCGCTCTTCCCATCTTACAGATGAGGAAACTGAGGCCGGGAGGTCACATATAATAAGTGACAGACAGAGGTTTGCAATCAGATATCTCTCCCGGACTGCTGGTCCTCAGTTCTCACTGCTCCAACACCACGCCGGTGATGCCATTGGTGAGGTGGCTGTCATCCCAAATGATGTGAAGGGAGCGCTTTCCATCGCCTAGTGGAGAACCTTCTTGAGGTTCTGGGACAGAAAAAAAAGGGCTCGATGGTTAATCCTGTGACTAAGAGTTCTTTAGATAATTGTGTAATTTATTTGTTTGCCTTTGAAATGAATTGCTGAAGGGCAGGGCCAGTGGTGAGATGGAAGTAAATGAGCACTTCAACATTTCGGAGATTTTTGCGTGTGTTCCTGTCTTACAAGTATTTCGCCTGAGAGAGGCAGTGAAGGTAGATAGTGAATAGAAAAGTAGCCTCAAAGCCGTCTTGTGACCCATCTTGGCTGTTTGACCCTGGGCAGTTCCCTCCCTGCCCCTTGGCCTGCTCTAGGCAGTAAGACTAAGTTGCAGAGAAGACACTGGCTGAGGGAATAGTCCTTAAGACAGTGAAATCACAGGTCCGCTTCCTATCTCTCTTTTGCCTGAAATTGCTTCATAAAATGGACAGTTTTCATTCTGAAACACTGACAGTTACGGAAAGGGAAGGCCTTGAACCAAATTTCCCCTTCTGAAAATAGCATGAAAGGGGATAGCAATACATAGTGACTCTTCTCTCAAAACTGCTTGGTAATTCCAGGTTGATTTTTCTGAAACTGCGCTAGTGTGTCCTGAGATTGGAATTTATCCTAGTTAGAATATCAGCTGTTTAGCATTTGTAGGACTTGGAAAGGAGTCTTTCTTTACCCTGGGCTGGGGAGGAGACAGGAAACCAAGAGGAGAGGCCCTGCAGGGACTGCCCAGATGGAATTCCTTATTCCTCTGACCAGATGTAAACTATATTGAAGACAGCAAGTAGTTTTAGGATGATTAAATTAAATGTTGTATTTACATAGTGTTAGGCCTATAAGGAGAACTGGGGACATTTTATCCAAATGTTGAATGAGATTGCTGGGGTTGTTACCAGAAAAGTATTATTTATTTGAGAAGCACTTGAAATGTCAATGAATGATAGCATGACATTCCTGGTACTGTAATCTAAATGAAACATAGTGTGTAATGGTTTGTTTCAGAACTATATATTCCTTCATAGTTAAAATAAAAATAAAGGCAGCAAAAGTTTGAGAGAAGGTCATGTAAAATATACAGATAGGATCTAGGATATTTTCCATAAGCAATTCCCAGGTAGGAAGCTCTTCTGTATCACTGCAAGTGGGTGGGGCGCCTTCTCTGTAATTTACTGTCAGAGAAATTCTTGACTGAGCATCAAGAAGTTTGTTAAAGTCCACTGTCTCACAGTCAGTATGTTTCAGAAATTTAATTTGAGGTCAGGTCTTCCTAACTGAGGCTGGTCCCCTATACTGAACTAAGTAAAAGAAACTTAAAATGTTTCAATCCGGCATTAGGGGAGTGGAAAAAGATTATTGCAGAGAGAGAGAGAGAGAACTATTTTTATTGAGAAGGAAACAATGAACTTAAAAATACCCCAAATAGCTAGAAACTCTACCTCACTATTAACTGTGCCAGTTGTTTAAGAAAAATTGCCTAGTCATTACTGTTGTGAAATAGGTATTGGGTCAAAGACCATAGTCCTTTAAATGGGCTAAGGAAGAGTATTGTTAATTTTTTTAATTTTCAAGTCAGGACAAACATAAAAGTGGGATGCTAAGTGGAAATTAAAATTATTTTTAAAAATACTGCTAGTACTTATTATGTTATTAGAAGTAATTTTTAGAGGTAGAAAATTCAGAGTTGATAATTGCTCATTATGACCAATTCATAGGAAAAAAAACAACTATCTTCTACTCTTCTCCCTCCTTGTCTCCCACCCCTCTACCTCATACCTCATACTGAAAATGTGGCCATTTCTTCTTTGTTTGGTGGTTAAATTTTTTTTGGGTGGGGGAGGAGAGGCAATCAGGTTTAAGTGACTTGCTTAAACAAGTTCACACAGCTAGTGAGTGTCTGAGGCTGGATTTGAACTCAGGTCCTCCTGATTCCGGGGCCAGTACTCTATCTACTGTGTCACCTAGCTGCCCCTAGTGGTTTATTTAATTGTATTTTTTTTTATTCAATTCATTCTTTTTATCCTGGTTCCTGATTTGGAGCCTTTTAAGAATTGTTAAGATCTCTTCCCTGCCATCTGAATACTTCCACTGAGTATAGATGAGTAGAGAAATACATCCTTTATCTTTGGGAGCTGAGTTGTACTTTATTTTTTAAAAGGTAGCAGTGGACCAAGTACAGGTTTTGGAATCAGAAGACCTAGGCCCACCTCCTGGGTTCGCCACCTATTCCCGGTGGTGTGAGCATAGGCAAGTCAGAATTTATCTTTGGGCTGTAGTTTCTTCTTCATATGGGAAAGGATAAAACACATCACCTGTAAAGGCCCATCTGTGATCCTATGAACCATGAAAACCCGGGCTTAAAGACTTTTTTTCAGGCCCATATGTTTTAAGAAACAGTTGTGTACCATTTCAACTTGATTTTATTTTATGAATTCATCTGCGTGGGGAACTTTACACACATACACGTGAAACTTAAGAGGCAATATGAATATATGTGTATATATACACATACACATATATATGCATATATAAAATATATATAATCTAGTAACTGTTAGAGACAGTATTTGAACGCAGATCTTTCAAGCCTAGTACTCAATTCATTGTACCATACTGTGCCAACCTAATGCTATGTTTACAATAATATTTCTATTTTTAAAAAGATGTCATTTTGAGTTGGTCTCTAAATAAAAGACATAATATGTTTTTGTCATTTTTACATTTTGTAATGAAATTTATCCTTGGAAATTGCTTATTCTTTTCTTTTTAAAGATATATTGAAAGCAACATGTCCAAAAAAATCAATGGCGGTTCTGTGGTGGAAATGCAAGGAGATGAGATGACTCGAGTCATTTGGGAACTGATTAAGGAAAAACTCATTTTGCCATATGTGAATTTGGATCTACACAGGTAATTCATTATCTTGCCTGGTGGGTGACTGAATCAGAGGATGCACAACTAAATGTTTCCAGTATTAGGCCAGGGTTTCTGTTCTAGCATTGCTGTCTAAAATTCTGATGGCAAGTTGTTCTGTTTTGTTTTTTTCTGGTGGGGTAGATATGGACAGATCTCAAACTTTATTGGAAGGGTCACCTTGACATAAGAATGGACAACTCCTCTCTAGAGTTCCTGTTTGTGTTATAAAAATGAGGGTGATAGGTGACTAACTATGAAGGGGAAAATTAGCTCTTTCTAGGACGCTGTTGATGTGAGATGTTTTTATATGTAAGTAGCTCTAGCTAGAATGATTTATCTTTTTTTTTTTTTAAGGAACAATGGCTTATGTTTTAGAATGTTTGCTTCTTTTACTCCCCTTAGAGGAAAATGACATGGCAAATGAAACAGTGAAATCAAATGTATTTTTATAAGACATTTTGTCACCACTAGTTGCATTTTTGGTCACTCTACTATTAAATTCCCAGTAGAATTTATTTTAACCTTCCTTTCTTTTCCCTTCCCGCCTTATGCCATCTTGTAACTGAGAGTGACCATGAACTGATAAAGTCTTATATTTTCCCACCTCCTAGCCTGTTGTTCCTTGTTCCTGGAATGCCTCACTCTCCCTCGCTGCCCACACTCCCCTCACCCACTTTAAATCCCTAAACATTCTTTAAAAAAGATCATCTCGTCAGTTATGCCCTTCCCTTCCCCACCCCTCATATAATGATCTCCTTGGATTTTACATAGTACTTTGTACTTGTCTACTCTTGTATTATGGTTATTTGATCTTCTTACTGGAGTATAAGCACCATGAAGGCAGATGCCATGGTTTATCTGAACTTTGTATCTCCCCAGCACAGTATGGAGTAGACATTTAATAAATATTTGTTGAGCAGCAATCATCCTTTTCCCTCTTGAGAGCATAGTAAACATTACCACAATTGAACAATGTTATTTCAGTCAAGTGATTATTAGTTATAATTTTTATTTTAGTCTAGTCACTAATCAGGAAGGCTCTTGGGTACCCATTTGATTTGTGTGTGTGCGTGTATGTGTATGTGTGTTTTATTCATTCTGCAAGTAGGCACTATTATAATGTCTACTGTTTTGCAAGATACTGACAGTTTTATGTTGTAACGTGAAAATGAGCAAATGCCTACATATCCAGGCTAATTATATAGGCCTCAGGCTGTTTTAAAAAAAAACCCTTCTAATAGCTTTAAAAGAGAATTAGTAAACTCTCTTTCATGTGAAATTTCTGAGGGAGCTACACAGAAACATTTTTCTTTGCCTATTGACTTTCTTTTTTCAAATAAATTTTTTTGGGGTGTTTTTCATTATCTTTTGAGGCTGTCTTTCCATCTTAGGCAGCTAAGTGGCTCAGTGGAGAGAGTAGGTCTGGAGTCCGAAGACCTGAGCTCAAATCCTACCTTAGACACTTACTAGCTTGTGTGATCCCAGGCAAGTCACTTAATCTGTCTGTTTGTTTTAATCCACTGGAGAAGGAAATGGCAAACCACTCCATTATCTCTGCCAAGAAAACTCCATGGACATCATTGGCATGTCCACAGGGTCACAAAAAATTGGACATGACTAAACAACAATCCCATCTTAATGTGGGCTGAAAGTGTATCAGGCAGCCACTCAAGGACCTCATCTCACCCTGATTAACAGAGGACCTTTGACCTGTTTCCTATCTGGCCTGTTTGCCCTTCCTTAAGTATCCTGGTAGCTTTCTGGTTTTAAGGCTCACCACATTGTTGATAGGCTTAGTGTGGATACCAGATGGGCTTTAGCCTTGTTTCATCCCAGAAGCCCTCAGCTCAAGCAATCCACCAACCTCAGCCTTCCCTATAGCAGGGATTAAAGTTGTGCTTCACCACCTTGACTTCATAAATTTTCCAAAGAAGATACTGCCAACATCCTGAAAGGTATTCCTTTACTAATCCAGTGGTAACAAAGCACCACTTGGACTCTGTCTCTCAGATGATTATTCTCACTACACGACCACCGGAATACCTCCTTTTCTGGTCCTAAATGTTTTCAATAACATGTTTTATGCCAAGTCATCTACCTGAGTAGTGACATGGAAAGTAGTCTGGGGCAACAAGTATAATGAGAAGGGCCGGGAAAGGTAGGTCAATGTGTATGAACTTCAAATTTTTGCAGACCTAAAGATATTTGTTATCAAAATATCTTTTTTTTGTTTAATTAAAAAGCTACTGCCTCATGGTGATTTGTCACATTTTATTCAACTGACTTCTGATTTCTTACCTAAATCCCACATAAGAGAATAAACTAAATTCTACTGGCTTACTTGAGGTTAGAGCACTCAGGTGAGAGCCATACTTAGGATACAGAATTTTAAACTAAATGATTTTAGTTCATAACTAAGTAAAATAGAATGTATTTCATTAATTCATGAGATGAAATTGTAAATAGGCTGCTTTTAACTCAAAACGATAAGAGGATGTGTTGTCCCTCTTGCCCAGTATTAATTGAATCATAGATTTAGAGCTGGGAGATGCTTTGAAAAGTCTTGAAAATATTTTCTTTTGAAAAGTTGCTCAAAAAGTGTCTCTTGTGTACATGGGTGGCCAATTGAAGCATTCAAGAACAGGAATGTGTGAAAGCTAGAGTGGTATGCTAGAGGCCAAAGAAGGAATTCCAAAACTGTTTCCTTAAAGAGAAAAGTGAATGGCGATCTGTTTTTATTATTGATTTCATTCACTTTAGACAGCTCCTCTGTAACCAGTTAGCTTTATCTTTTAAGCATTGCCTGGCCTAGTCATCTTTTGGTATTTTCAGCAGAAGACCCACTCAATGTCTTTTAAATGATGACAGAACCCCTAACTCAGTGGGTGGGTATAGTATATAGACTGTGCCACTCCAAATCTTTGCAGAGAGGCCTTGGCAGTTACAAATCCAATAGAAGAGCCTCATAGCAGTCTCCAGAACGAAAGGAAATTACTCAAGAACTGGGGAAAAGGTCATGGACTTCAGTTGACTAACAGATATCTACATTTGTGCAATAACTTCCTCATGGAAAATGTTCACTACTTTAAAAATAATATGCCAGCATGGCTTACCTTTTCCCCACTCATTTTAAAAATTAAAATACTATTAAAAGCATTTAATAATCATAATTACGGCTCTCTTTGGTTTTGGGAATTTTTTTTGGTATCTGTATAGAGAGAGGGTAAAAAGAAAATCTTTTTTTTTTTAATTCTGTTAATTGCTTCCCATTATGCAAAGCCTACTCAAAGTTCAATGCTTCGTGGTTGGTCACTTTTAGGTTATACTGACGTTGCAGCCTAATAGGTCTCATAATTAATTGCTCCTAAATGCAAAATGATGGAGTAAAATACACATCTCTTTCACTTTACTAAGTAGAAACTGCCTTCTAGTATGTAAGGTCCTTAAGGGACAGGTACTATTTATTTTTTTCTTTTGTCCAGCTCCTAAATAATGTTATGTAAGTGCTTGTAATAAATGCTTAATTGAATTGAATTGGCATCAGTAATTCAAGGGTTCATCTGAAATTTCTGTCCTGCATTTCATCCTTGCCCCCACTTCTGTCCCAAGCTATGACTTAGGGATAGAGAATCGGGATGCAACAGATGACCAGGTCACCGTTGACGCTGCAGAAGCTATTAAGAAATATAATGTGGGCATCAAGTGTGCTACCATTACCCCTGATGAGAAGAGAGTTGAGGAATTCAAATTGAAGAAAATGTGGAAATCGCCAAATGGGACTATCCGAAATATCCTGGGTGGTACAGTTTTCAGGGAAGCAATCATCTGCAAAAACATCCCCCGGCTTGTGAATGGCTGGGTCAAACCAATCGTCATAGGCCGTCATGCTTACGGGGATCAAGTAAGTAGCTTTGGGATAATTTCATTTTTGCGTAGTCTCTTTGTCTTTAGAAGCACAGAAAAAAATTCTAAGCATAGCTTATCTGCCTGCCCCTCTCTCTTTTGGAGGCAATCAAGGTTAAGTGACTTGCCCTATACTGTCTGAGGTCAGCTTTGAACTCAGGTCCTCCTCACTCCAGGGCTAGTGCTCTATCCACTGTGCCACCTCAGTGCCTCCTGTGTTTCTCTTTTTCAGTTTTTCCTTATGACCACCTCAGTTTCTTAAACAGGAATAGAAGAGAGAATGGGGTCTCAGAGCTAGATGTACATGTACACTCTTATAATCTTAACCTTTCAGCCTGAAAGGTTAAGAGGTTAAGAGGTTTCTTTTATCAAGGTAATTTTTAAATTGTTCCCCTCCTGCATAGATTACCCAACAGTTTGAAAGCACACTCTTGCTTAGAAACAATTTCATTGTTGTTCTTTCTGCAAGAATGGGCCCACTGCCAAATTAAACAGAGAGCACAAACTAAGCAAAAGCCAAGTCCTGTGACAAAACTGGAGTTTTAGACTTTGAAATAAGGTAGGTTGTTGGCTTAGTTAGGTTTAAAGACCAGCCAGTAAAATACTTCGTAGTTAACAGTTGTCAAGGTCGAGATCTGTACTGAAAGGGCCTGCTGTACTGATTTAGTCCCTGCATGGGATGGATTAACATCCTTCTGTTCCATGACCACAGCTTCCCTCTTTAACCCTGGCCAGTCATGGTGTAGCTTGTGAGCTATGTAACTCACAAGAGGCACCAGGCAAGAGAGATGTGGATGGATCAGTGCAGAGCATCCCTCCCCACAGAGAAACAGATCAAAACAAATTAGGCCATGTCTTCGTATATGAAGAAGGACATTCTTACAACATAATTATGTGGGAGATCATTTTACTTTGTTATTCAGTCTGACTCTTTATGAGCCCATTTGGGGTTTTCTTGGCAAAGATACTGGAGTGGTTTACCATTCCTTCTCCAGCTTCTTTTACAGATGAGGAAATTGAGGTAAACAGGGTTAAGTGAATTGCCCAGGGTCACACAGCTAGTAAGTGTCTGAGGTTGGATTTGAACTCAGGAAAATGATTCTTCCTTCAGGTTCAGCACTTTATCCAGGGGAATCACAGATTAAATCAAGAATCACTTAAAACGTGCAGATGTGAGCCAAGTTCTTCTGCCTCAGTTTTTCCATTGGAGAATGTCAGAAAGGATAAATATTTGTGAAATGCATTAAACCTCATGATAGCTCTAGAGGGTGGTATTCAGTAATTGTCATTAGTGGGGTGACAATTCTACAACACTTGATTCTTCCTTGTTTTCTCTAGAATTTCTAGGAAAGAGACCCTGTGAAAGGTTGTTTCACCCCTAAATAAACAGTTATGGCCGGTTCCTTTTGAAACCTGTCATCTGTCACTCCAGGACTGTCTCTCTAGCTGCCCAGAACCACTAAGGAGGACTGCTTGGGGGCAGTTCTCCTTGAAACAGCAGCTCAAGTTTGTACGGTACCATATAGGAAGTGGTTTTCTTTATAACTACCTTGTGAAGCACACTGTATAAATATAAATATTATCCCCATTTTGCAAGTGAGGAAACTGATGCCTAAGGAGGTTACTTGCCTGCAGTTTCATAGATATTGAATGGCTGAGCCAGAACTCAGATATAGGCCTCCCTATTCCCAGACTAGTGTCCTCTCTATTATGTCCCACAGGCCCCTTGGTGTCCTTGGGAAACCTGTGGTAAGACCCTAGAAGTAGCACCAGATTATTCTACCACTATTGGCTCAGGCAACAGATTCCTCGTGTTGATATTGAACTGTCTGATACAAATGTGCTCAGACACCATCTTTTTCCAAGAAACCTTGCCTATCCACTCTGGTCCGTGGTGTAAGAGGCAAGCTGATATGATGGAAAGATCCCTAGATTTGGATAACTGTTAGGCTCAGTGGACAGAATTCAGGACTCAGAGCCAGGAAGAACTGAGTTCAAATCCTGCCTCAAATTCTTACTAGATGTGTGACCCTGGACAAATCACTTAACCTCCCAGTGCCTCAGTTTCCTCATCTCTAAAATGAGGGGACAAAATTACCTCCCAGGGTTGTTCTGAAGATCAAGTGGGTTAATATACCTAAAGCACTTTGCCAGCCTTAAAGCACAGTCTAAATGTTAGCTATCATTATCATTTAGAGTCAGAAGGTCAAAGTTCAAGTCAGTTCTACCACTGATTAACTGTATAAACAGATCGCTTAAGCTTTTTGAGCCTTGGTTTCCCCATGTGTAAAAAGTGAAGACAGTCCTCTTTGCCTCCCAGTATTATCAGGACATTTATGTACCACTTCACCTTTTACAAACGTGGACTACTCCTCCCTCCTCTGAATGTCTGTGAGTGCCTCTTTTCAATACCATTCATTTGGCGCTCGTATACTGCCTTATATTGTTGGTCATTCTTTCATGAGTACATATCTTCTCCCCTAATGAAGTGTAAGCTTCTTGAGGGCAGGGACTGGATAGTGCTTTGTACATAATAAGTGCTCAGAAAATGTTTACTAGTGGCGATGTAATGGTGCCACCAACTAGCTTTCAAGCATGTCACCTTTCTGGCCCTCAGTTTATCTGTTATAAAATGATCACATTTAAGGAACATGAACATCCTACCCACTCAATATTCTATGATAATTCTCAGGAATTCAAATTATAGTATTTTCATTTGGGGCTTGTTGAATTAAATTCTCTCAGACCCTGTAATCTCTCTTAAATAGTACAGAGCAACTGACTTTGTAGTTCCTGGGCCTGGAAAAGTGGAGATAACCTATACACCAAGTGATGGGGGCAAAACAGTGGCATACTTGGTCCATAATTTTGAAGGTAGGTACAACACCTCAATAGGAAATGATAATACTTTTTTTAAAAAAATTAAGGTTAGTTCTGATTGTGTCGTTGGTTATGTAAAAATTCATTATGTGATACAACTTGTAAACCTTGTAGGGTCAATTATATCAACAAGTTAATGTTTGTATTAATATTTGTAGGACAGAAAATCCATCCTGTGCATCACATCTATATGAAGTACAAACTTTTGTGTTTGTATATTATTTTCATGTATTTATATATGTATATGTTCCCTCTCATGATAGAATATAAGCTTCTTGAGGGCAGAGACCCTTTTGTTTTTGTCTTTGTATCACCAGCATCTAGATCAGCACACATTAAATCCTTAACTAGTATAAGTTGATTGACTGAGGTGTCTGTGGGCAGGTAGATGATTTTACTTGGGGCGGGGGGGGGGGGGGGGGGGGGGCTGTGTATGTCTGTGTCTCTGGTGTGTCTGTCTGTCTGTGTCTGTGTCTTAGAGAGATGAGGGTCTGAGACAGAGTGACAAAAGCTGGGTTTTGCCTCAGTTTTATGAATTGTTCAAACAGGTAAGAGACACATTAATCCATGTAAGTCCAAAGTACAGTCTATTCCTCTTACTCCAAAGTTCACAAGTGGCAAGGATCAGACAAAATACAAATATGTGTTGACCAGATTTGTTCATCTAGGACCTTATTTCTCTTATGAATCAATCAGTAAGGATTTACTAGGTGTCTACTATGTCCCAGGAACTGTTCTAGGCACGAGAGATACAAGTACAAAGAATAAACAGTTACTACTTATAACGAACTTACATTCTTTTTTAAATTAAATTCATCTTTTCAATTAACAAGCATTTATTTTCTTTCCTTGCCTCCACCATTGAAAAAAAGGAAAAGAAAAGCAAAATCCATGTTACAATTATGCATAATCAAGAAAAGCAAATTTCTATGCTGTTCATGTCCAAAACAATATATCTCATCCTGCACCCTGAGTCTATCACCTCTATCAGGAGGTGTGGGTAGCAGGCTTTATCATCCGTCACTCCTCTGGAGTCATGGTTGGTCATTGTGTTGATCAGAGTTCTTAAGTTTTTCAGAATTGTTCATTTTTACAGTGTTGTTATTGTTGTTCTCCAAGTTCTGATCACTTCACTCTGTCTCAATTCATACAAGTCTTCCCAGGTTTCTCTGAACCTAGCCCTCTCATTATTTCTTTTTTTCTTTGTGGTTTTTTTTTGGGGGGGGGGGCGGTACAGTTGGGGTTAAGTGACTTGCCCATGATCACACAGCTAGTAAGTGTCTGAGGCAGATCCTGACTCCAGAGCTGCTGGTGTATCCGCTGTACCACCTGGCTGCCCCCTCTCATAATTTCTTATGGCACAATAATACTCCATTACATTCATAGATCATCATTTGTTCATCTATTTCCCAATTGATGAGTACCCCTCAATTTTCAATTCTTTGCCACAAAAGAAAGAGAATTAGTTTATGTTCGAATGGGGGAGACAAGAAATACTTATTTAAAACGTATAGCATAAACATAATGTCAATAAATAAAAATGATAAGGTATCCCAAAAATGCTATCAAGCTGCACCAAGACTTTTGGGACACCCTGTGTAAGTTAGTTAAGCAAAAGGTAGTTTGGAAGGGAGAGAAGGGACATTAGAAGTGTGGAGGGGTGATCACGAAAGGCTTCAGATAGAAGATGGTGCTTGAGTTTAATCCTAAAGGAAGAGAGGGATTCTGAGGCACAGGAAAAGAGAGTACATTCCAGCCATGGAGTGTGGCCAGTGAAGATACAGAGATGAGTGTCATGGATGAAGAAAAAAATGAAGGCCCATTTGGCAAAATGGCAGAGTCCAGGAGGAGGAATAATGATCATTAAGGCTGAAAAGACAGGTTGGGACCAAGTTGCATAGGCCTTGAGAAGCTAAACAGAAGCAGTAGGATGCCACGAGCATCTCAAAGTAAATATGTCCTAAAACTGGATTTACTATCTATTCTCCCTAAATCTCTTCTATCTTCTGTCCATGGTCCTCTTACTAATAGCTGATATTTATATGGTGTTTTCAGGTTTGCAAAGCACCGTGCACACATTATCTCATTTGAATCTCACAATAACTTTGTAATAGAGAAATTCCAGGTATTATTAAATCCACTTTGTATATTGCCCCCTGAGGAAAGTGAGGCTCATGGAGTCACAGGCTTGCCATCTTCACCTTTGTAACCTGGCTTCCCTGCCTTCCTTCACGACTCAGTTCAAATCCCATCCCTCTGTTTTGGGTCCCTTCCTCCTGAGATCACCCCTTCCATCTATGCTTCCATATGTGCCTAGTTATCTCTATTCTTTTCTCTTTTTTTGAGGCAATCGGGGTTGAGTGACGGCCCAATGTCACACAGCTAGTAAGTCTGAAGCTAGATTTGAACTCAGGTCTTCCTGACTGCAGGGCCAGTGCTTTATCCACTATGCCATCCAGCTGCCCCTTTGCCTAGCTATTTCCACTTTGTCCACCCCATTCAAATGTGTGTTCAGTTCCCAGCACTTAATAAATGCTTAATTAATGCTTGTTTGGCTGAGTGCCTGCCCACTGGGCAATAACTGAGGAAGGATATGAACCAAGGTCTTCCCCGACTCCCTCGTCTACCTCTACTGTTTATCTGATCTCCCATGTTCAGAACCTTGTTGGTTTAGTAAATAGAGTTTTAGACTTGGAGACAGGAAGATCCCAACTCAAATCTAGCCTCTGCTGAATAACCCTGAGTAATCCTCCTAACCTTTGCTTTAGTTTCCTCGTTAATAAAATGGAGCTGATCCAACTTATCCTGTATGTCCCTTGTTTGTATATAATTATTTGTCTCCCCCATTAGATTGTGAGCTCTTTGGGGCAAGGACTGTCTTTTAACTTTCTTTATATCCCCAGGCGTAGTACAATGCCTAGCACGCTGTTGTTTAGTCACTCAGTCCTGTCCAACTCTTTGTGACCCCGTAGACCATAGCATACCAATACTGTCCATGAGGTTTTCTTGGCAAAGCTGTTAGAGTGGTTTGCCATTTCCTTTCCCAGTGGATTAAGGCAAAAGGTTAAATGGCTTGCCCAGGGTCACACAGCTAGTAAGTGTCTGAGGTCACATTTGAACTCAGATGTTCCTAATTCTAGGCCCAGTGCTTAATAAATATTTCATGACTGACTACCTCACAGGATTATTGTGAGGATACGATGAAATAATGTTTGTAAAGTGTATTTGGGGGATAAAACGAGGTAATATTTGCAAACCTGAAAGTGGCATATGAATCCTAGCTGTTATTATCTTTGACTCTTCCCTTTCCTTCATTTCTTATCCAACAGGTGTTGAGTAAGTAGACAGCACCACTATTCCTGTTACTACTTTTGTAGGACAAGAGCCTTATTACCACCAGGCCAGACAGTTACATTAGCCTTTCAATAAGTCTTACTGCTTCAACACCCTCCCCACTTTAGTCAGTCTTTTAAACTGCCTAACAATAATCTCTTATTGTTATTTCTCTTCAAAAATATTCAGTGATTCCCCATTGCCTACATTTCAGATTCTTTTATCTGGCATTCCAAACTCTCTCCAATTCCATATTGTCTTACCTTTCCAGACTTTATTTTGTCCTTTTCTTGTCATACAAAGTTGTATATTATAGTTACGTATTTTATGATCATTCAACTAGAATGTAAGCTCTATGACATCAGGGATCATGTGTATCTAAATTTGGCACTTTCCCCTCTGTGCCTAGTATGCAGCAAGAACTTAGTAAATTTTGAGTCTGAATTTGAAAGTTTAAAGAAATAAATGGTATAAAATGTTATTTGTACCTTTCATGAAACAAGGTCCAGTTATTGCCACTAACTATAATTTCCACTAACTACTAGGTTTCCAAACCCCACGGGAAATGGAGAATATTAATTCAATTCTAGTAACATTGTTATTTGTCAAAGACTGGGTAAGATTTATGATGCCAGCATCAAAAAATATGAAGGGACATTGGTATGCTAATGACAGGCTAAAAATTAAAGTTAGCCTTTGACTGTGGAGTCCATTTGCATTTCTGTTTGACAACTTTGTCTACCCCATTGTCACTAGGAGACTAATGGTGGTCTTTGAGAACTGAAATGAGAATTATGTTTAGGGAAAATTGGCTTTCTTCCTGCTGGATGCTTTATAAGCTTGTGGTATATCCAGAATGCTTCCGCTCACAAGCCTGGCTGGAGAAAGCCATTGACCAGATGACCAGGAAATAGGAAGATGATCAGGAACTAGGAAGTTCTTAGGAGTAATGGAGCATTTTTTACAGGGCTACAGCTCATTTATACTGCTCTCTCTGTCTGTCATATTCTTTCATATTCTCTTATGTTCTTTCTCTCCACAGATTGTGGTGGTGTTGCTATGGGAATGTACAATCTTGACCAGTCAATCAAGGATTTTGCACACAGTTCCTTCCAAGTGGCTCTGTCTAAAGGCTGGCCTCTGTACATGAGTACCAAAAACACTATTCTGAAGAAATATGATGGGCGTTTTAAAGACATCTTTCAGGAAATATATGACAAGTAATTAGAGCAATTTTATTTCTGTTTTTATAAGTCAGCACCTTTTGCAGAGAATATATCTTTATATTCTGTTGCCTTGGGGTAAAGACAGTGACATCCTCCACTGTCACTTAAGGACTCAACAGTAACAACATTCATCAGATGTTTATGAAGTAACTACTTCCTCATAGTCAGGGTGTTACCAAATTTTGATAAAACCCAATCCCTGCCCTTTTTGAGCTCTGTCTAGTGCTGAGATAAGAAACAAACACAGATAAATGCATTAGAGAATTGCAAAACAAAGAGCTATATATGAGGTTTAAAAAAAAAAGATGGGGTTTCAATAAGGCTTTAATATAAAAATAACTAACATTTATATTGTGCTTTAAGGTTTGTGAAACACTTCACATATATTAACTCATTTGATCCTCACAATACCCTGTGAAGTAGGTTCTATTGTTAACCCTATTTTACAGATGAGGAAACTAAGGCTGAGAGATTAAGTGACTTGCTAATGTCACCCAACTAGTATCCTAGCAGGCTTCTAATTCAGGTCTTCCTGACTGAACATCCAGAACTCTAGTGGGCTTTTGAGTTGAACTTTAAAGATTGGGTAGAATTTCAATAAACTAACAGTCAGTGGAGGAAGGGCATTCCAGGCATAGGAAAATAGAGGACGTAGTGTGTTTGGGGGCAGAGAATAGACCACTTTGGATAGAGCTTAGAGTATATAGAATGAGGTAATAGGAAAGAAGACTGAAAGGTAGGGTGGTACCAGATTATGGAGGTCCTTAAATTCCTGGAAAAGGAGGTTGCTTCAGGTGATAAGGAATCATTGAAGATTTTTGAATAGTAGCATAACATAACTAGATCCATGCAGGGGGGGGGGGGGGAATTATTGTGGCAGCAGAAAGCAAGAGGAATTAGAATGGGAAGGCCTTCTAGGAGATTATCACAGTATTCCAATAGGTTACTGAGCACCTGTATTAGGAAGAAAGAAGAAAGGTTAGGGAGAAGACATTTTTCAGAGGTAAAACTCAGTGGGCTTTAGTAACTGATTGCGTATGAGAACTGAGGGAGAAGGAAGAACCAAAGTGAAGTCCAAGAGTTCAGAGCTGAGATTTGAATGGATTAGAGTTGCCAGGCACCATGCTTAGTACTGGGGATACCAAAAAAAAAAAAAAAAAAAAGCAAAAGACAGATCCTGCTGTCAATTACCTTACAATCTAATGGGACCACTGCACTGGCCTCCTAATTAGTCTTTCTGTAGTCTATCCTCCACACAGCTCCAAAACTGGTGTTTCTAAAGTACAGATCTGACTATGTAACCATCTTTCTCAAGAAAATCCAGTGACTCCCTATTGCCTCAGAGATAAAATGTCAGATTTCCCTGTTTGGCATTTAAAACCCATCACAATATGGCTCCAGCCTACCTTTCGAAAGCTTACTGTATATTGCTCTCCTTTCTACCCTCTTCAGCCAGTCTGATCTGCTCACTGTTCCTGGAATATAACATTTGTATCGCCATGCCTTTATACAGGTTGCCTTGTCTTCCGTACTGGGTTTCACTCCCTCCACACCTTTGCCTCTTAGAATTCCCAACTGTCACCTCTTCTGCAAGGGCTTTCCAGATCCTCCATACCCCAGAGTAATTTTGGGTTGTTGGCATACCCCAAAATTATTTTGTGTGTTATATTTGCTTTATATGTATACATATTGTTTCCCTTAATGGAAGGTAAGCTTTTCCTCAAAAGCAAGAACTGTCTCATTTTTGTCTTATCTCCAGCACCTTGCAGGATACTTTACACATAGCAGGCTTTAGTAAATGCTTGTTGAATGAGTGAATACGTCATTTGATTCTCTCAACGGCCCTATGGTATTAGCAGAATGGCTTTTATTATCCCCACTTTACTAAGGAGGAAAAGTGCTTGAGCTGGAATCACAGGCCTTCCTTAACTGTGAAATCATGGGTATTTATATACGATACTTAGAGAAACTGTGTATGTGTCTGTGTTATCGTTTTATAGTGACTTGACGTCTTTTTCCTTTGTCACTGAGAACAGGTTTTAGGAGGAAGTAAAGTGGTATTTTGACTACTTTCTCCCTTTCAGTATTGACATGTTGCCAAAATAACACCCTGGGAAAATTTAGATTGTTGGATGTAATAAAGGAATAGGACTGATCATAGTATGGTCCAACTCAGAAATGCCATTCTCAGTTTTATAACTGAAATATTGGACAGCAATGATTTAGACTTTTTTAACTCGAGCATCTTTCAGTTTTCCCTCAGAGCAAGACACAGACTTTCCCCTTCGGACCTGTAACTCAACCTTCCATTTATTGTTGTCCTTCTCATTCCCTAGGCAATACAAACCCCAGTTTGAAGCCAAGAAGATATGGTATGAACATAGACTCATTGATGACATGGTAGCCCAAGCTCTGAAATCAGAGGGAGGCTTTGTCTGGGCCTGTAAGAATTACGATGGTGATGTGCAGTCTGACTCTGTTGCTCAAGGTAAGGAGCCTCTGAACAGGACAGGCAGGTCTCAGAGTGCATAGACTAAATGACTCTGCGGCAATAGATAAGAATTTTATACTGACAGGCCCCCAAAATAGTCATAGGCCAAAAGAAGGAGGAGGCCATTCCTTTATCCTCTTTCCACCATTGTGATAGAAAGAGCCTTCAAACAGCATTATTCCAGGCCAGTGATTGTTTTAACTGGTAGTTATATTGTTTTGGTTGGCTAGCTTGCTGCTGAGTTAGCACCACCACCAGATAGTGATGGTATAGGTCTGGAAGCATTTCAACAAAACACTACCATCCCCACTGCTGTCTGATGGGTCCTCTGCATTGAGACCCCAAAAAAAAATGCATTTCAGTTTTACCTTTAAGACCTAGGGTTTAAATGGGAAAAGAGCATTCCTAATTAGAGAAAGGCCAGGAATAAAATACTTTAACAGTTAGGACACAAATTTAATTGCAATAATGGGAACCAAATCAATGAAAACTCAATTCTGCCTTTTTTTTTTTTTCTGTGGTACTAAGGTGTTTGTTTGTTTGAGTTCCGATGCCCCAAGCACCTAGAAAGAATGGAATCTCTTACACACACATACATACACACATGCATACATACATACATACATATCCAGTGCTTTCAGTGTGCTTTGCTTTTAGCCAGGAGATAATAGTGTTTTTCTTTCATTTTCTAAGAATTAAATATATATCAGTGACACAGCTAGAAAGCAAAATTCACTAATGGTCCTTTAAAAAAAGATAGGATACTAAAATGTATTCCAGCTAGGTCTTTTCCCCTTAGGCTGATCCCTGAGTCCTCATTAGAGTGATAATTAGCACAGGTGAATGAGCTATTGAAGTGCCTTGGCCCTAGCTACACAGCTAGTCTTCCTTTACCACGGCAACCCACTCCCAGGGCCCACCTTACCCCAAAGTCTCTTGGGGTTACACCACTGTCAACCTGTGACCTAGACTACTGCCATATGATTCCCCAGCCCTTCCCAACATACATATATACCTGTAGCAAGAATCTTGTCTAAGTTATTGGTGTCAAACTCAAGTAGAAATGGGGCCACTAATCCATTGCAAAGTAACCCTGCAAACTCCATATGGACTTAGTTTTAAAATATAACATTATCTGTTTTGTTATATTTTTATTTATTTTGTTAAACATTTCCCAGTTACACTTTAATCTGGTTCAGGCTGCATTCGGGAGTATTGTGGGACACATGTGACCACAGGCCATGTTTTTGTAACCCTGCCTCCTCCACTGAATTTGCTGTAGCTGCAGTAACTCTTAGTTATGTTGCACCAGTTACACCAGTCCATTCTGAATCATGTTCTCGGGAAGGCTTGCAGGTAGAAGTGGCTTCAACCTACCGGAGTTAGCTTTGAAACAGACTAGGTAAGCTAGACTCAGAAATAATGGAACCCAAGAGCCCAGCATACATAAACCTAAGAACATAAACAATTAGGGGGAAAACTCCTTATTGACAAAAATTACAGAGAAAACTAGAAAGCAATTTGATGGAAAATAAATTTAGACAAATATCTTACATCATGCACCATGATAAGGTCCGAGTACATGACTAAATATTCTTTTAATCACATCATTTTAAAAAAAATAGAGGAGAATGGGGCAGCTAGGTGGCACAGTGGATAGAGCACCGGCCCTGGTGTCAGGAAGACCTGAGTTCAAATCCAGTCTCAGACAAGACACTTGACACTTAACTGTGTGACCCTGGGCCAGTCACTTAACCCCAATTGCCTAAAAATAAAAAATAAAAAAAAGAAAAATAGAGGAGAATGGAAGATGATGCCTTTTTAAATTATGTATGGGGCAGAATTCTTAAACAAGAGAAAATGGTGATCATAAAAGAGAACAGATTTACATCAATTTAACATTTAAAATTTTTAAAGCTTTCACCTGGACAAAATGCAGCTAAAATAAAGAGGGAGACTGTCAAATAAGAAAAATATCTTTGATTCAGATATCTCTGATGAAGGACTGAATACATAAGACCAAGAGCCACTGAGTCAGAATAAAAAGTAGAAAGATAACTAGATTTGGAATCAGACACTTGGGCCGGGTCTAATCTCTGGCATCTTTATTACCTTCAATAAGTCACCACCTCTCCTGGCCTATTTTCTCAAGGGTCAAAGGGCTGGAGTTATTCTCAAAAGAAGAATTGTGAATTATCAACAGATCACCATTAATAGGAGAAATGTAAATGAAACCACCTATTGTTTCTTACCTGTACCAAGTTACAGAAACTGATAAACTGACCAACTATTGACCATCCTGGAAAACAATAATGGAATTATTTGACAAAAAACACTAAACCATTGATACTGTTTGTCCAAGAGATACCTCTGCTGGGTGTTTATCCTAAGGAGGTCAGAGACAGGCTCCCTACATACCAAAATACACATAGCAGCACTTTTTGTGGTAGCAAAAAAAGAAAAAGAAAACAAAATGAATGTCAGTTTGATGTAAATAAATAAATTGTGGTTTATGAATGCAATGGAATATTATTGTGCCATAAGAAATGAGAAATGTAGGGGCAGATAGGTGGCGAAGTGGATAGAGCACTGGCCCTGAAGTCAGGAGGACCTGAGTTCAAATCCGACCTCAGACCAAACACTTGACACTTACTAGCTGTGTGACCCTGGGCAAGTCACTTAACCCCAATTGCCCCCCAAAAAAGAAAAAAAGAAATGAGAAATGTAAAGAATTGCTAGAAATTGGAAAGAGTTAAGTGAACTGATAAAAGTGAGTAGGAAAGGATAAAATATGTGCACAGTAATAGGCCAGTAAGTGAAGCTAAATGCTGAATGTGGTCCCAAAAACAGATGTGCAAACCCAAAATTAGAGAGGTGGAAGAATGGAGGGTGCAGAAAGTTGCACACGCTCTCAAATAGGGTCAGTGTGTTGGGAGTTTTTTGCCTTTGTTACAAGAGATGGTTGGAGCATCTGGACAGTCTGTCTGGAAGTAACTATGATGTGAAAACAAAATGCATCCTTTAAGTTGATTATGTAAAAGAGTAGTCTCAAGCTGATGAATAAACTAAGTTGTAGCCTTTCTCTTTAGAGGTAAATCTTTGGACCTGTCATCAACTTTTCATTTGACTTTCCGAACAGCTTCCATCCACCAGCCCCACTTAACGCTCTCAGCCAAGTGAGATCCTCAAAAATGAAGTCTTAGAATATAATTAGTCCATTTACCCAAGGCAATAATTGTATAATTATGGCAAATTGGAGAGTATTTAAGTAAAGTATGGGTGAGAAGCATGTAGAAGGTAGATGTCTATGGTGCCATTAAGAAGCTCTCCCAGCAATAATAAGGACTTAACTTTAGAATCCATCTCCAAATGTTGTGACAGCTTTAGACTGGAAGCAATGGTGTCCTGTAGTACAGAAAGGAGAAGGGTTGGCTATTTGTGGGTAAAGGTATCCTACACCTCATCCACGATGGACAACAAAATTTTGTGCCAACAATAACCACTACTTGAAATTAAAAGATGCTGGTATTCATAGGATCATTAATTTAGAGTTGAAAGGGACCATAAAGACCATCTAGTCCAATAATCTTATTTATTCTTCGATCATGTTTTATTGAATACAGTAAAGTCTAAAGCTAAAATTAAAAGGAAACAACTGGGAAGGAGGGAAATCTTAGCAGCAGGCTTCTCTGATAAAAGTCTTTTTTCCAAATTATTAAAGAAACTGATTCAACTTTATAAGAAAAGGAGTCATTCCCCAATTAATAAATGGTCTAAAGATATTAACAGACAGTTTTCAAGGAAAGAAACACGGGCTATCTATAGCCATATGAAGAAATGCTCCAAAACACTAATAATTAGAGAAATGCAAATTAAAATAATTCTTAGATTCTATCCCATGCTTATCAGGGTAGCAAATGTAACAAAAAAGGAAAATGACATATGCTGGAGGGACTGTGGAAAAACAGGGACATGGATGTATTCTTGATGGACCCGTGAATGAGCAAAACCATTCTGGAAAGCGCAGTTAGGGTTAGGGTTAAGGTTTGTATATAATATAGATTTTATTTTTTATCTTATTATTATTATTATACATATATTATTATGCCAGAAAATCTCTTGACCATCAGGGGGAATTAGTTGTATTAGCTCAAAGATAGATGTTAATAGCAATGTTTTCAGATGTCATCGTTTTCTATTTTAATTAGTTATTCTTGTTAACTGGGTTCCTAGTTCAGTTATTAGTATGCCAATAAAGGAGTACAATTTTTTTTTTTGAACAGTGTTATTTATTTTAATGAGGTCTAACAGTGAATTTTTTGGCTGTCATATGACAGCGTTGACTCATTAAGCTTAAAGTCCATTAATATCCTTGTATGTTTTCTTTTTTTATAATATTTTATTTCTCCCCCAATTACACATAAGAACAGTTTTAAGTTTTGAGTTCCAAATTCTATCCCGGTCTCTTTCCCCTCCCCCTTCCTTTTGATAGTAAGCAATCTGATTTAGGTTATACATGTGCAATCACGTAAAAAACATTTCTGTATTAGTCATTTTGTGGAAGAAAACTCAAAAAAAAAGAGAAAGAAAGAAAAATAGTACGCTTCAGTCTGTATTCAATGCATTTTCTAATGCCATCAATTTGTTCTCTGGAGGTAGATAGCATTTTTCATCATGAGTCTTTTGGGATTGTCTTGCATCATTGTATTGCTGAGAATAGCTAAGTTATGCACAGTTGTTTATCATACAGTAATGCTGTTACTGTTTACAGTGTTCTCCTGGTTCTGCTCATTTCACTCTGTGTCAATTCATTTAAGTCTTTCCAAGTTTTTCTGAAATCATCCATTGCAGTCATATGCCACAGCTTCGTTAGCCATTCCCTAGTTGATGGACATTCCCTTAATTTCCAATTCTTAGCAAACACAAAAAGAGCTGCTCTAAATATTTTTTGTACAGATAGGTTCTTCTCTCCCTCCCTGTTTTAATCTCTGGGATACAGACCTAGAAGTGGCATTACTGGCTCAAAGGGTATGCACAGTTTTAGAGTCCTTTGGGCATAGTTCCAAGTTGCTCTCTAGAAAGGCTGGATCATTTCACAAAAGTACAATTCTTGAGCCTTCTAACTTTTGCTGTGCCTAAATGGCTTGCCCCCGTTATGGTCCTATAAGCCTTGGCATATCTATAAATATCATTAGCAGGACAATCATCGACATGGCAAGAGAAACTATTGGCTTTGGTCTTTTTATATCCTTACCCCAGTTCTCCCCGCCTTCCTCCCTCTCTTCCACCAGGGGCTCAATGATACTATTTTCAGATGAACTTGACACCTTGTGCTTTATCACTTACAGGCTATGGGTCTCTGGGAATGATGACTAGTGTGCTGATCTGCCCGGACGGCAAGACGGTGGAATCAGAAGCTGCGCATGGTACGGTAACACGTCACTACCGCATGCACCAGAAAGGTCAAGAGACATCCACCAATCCAATTGGTAAGGTGCCCTCTGCTCTATTTTTGACCCGAGTGAACTCTGATCTTAAAATGGTTCTTTTTTGTTGCTCGATTCTTTGTACCAAGTTGTCAGAATATCACTGACTTAAGTGTTACTTTATACTAACCTTTGGACTTTATCCCGGATCATAAGAGCTCTTTTAGCTGTGCTCTTGGCATTAACTCATTATCCATGTCTCTATGGCACAGTTTCTGTGGTGCAGCATATAAATGAGTGAATGAATAAGTGCATGTATGTATATACCCATATGTACACAAAGAACTATTAATGATTATGCTTCTCCTATTCAGTATGTAAGGGAACATGAAGCTAAGCATCTAAATGCCATGTGGATGTATTCTTTCATTCAAGTTTCAAGGTCAGCTCTCTGAAAAGAGATTGTGGTCTGAAGAGAAGGGACAGGTATAGACAGTGTAAGGGAGAGAAACTAACTGCTGCCAGCTCATTATATTCCTCAGATGTCCGGTATCAACTACCAGTGAGGAAAATATTGATACCTTGTTCCAGTTGAATCTTAAACCTCTCTTAAAAAGAAATCTCACATATAATAATGTATTTGGAAATTTAAGTTTAGTTCTGTGTGGGTTTATCTCTCATATGAGCCATGTTAAAGGTTGGCATCTGATCTTTCTTAGGCAGTATTTCAGGCTTCCATGAACTATACCACATCTAAACCCTTCTATTACCAAGTCTTACTCTTTCCTTCCCCAGCCTCCATCTTTGCCTGGACCAGAGGATTAGCTCACCGAGCTAAACTGGATGACAATGCAGAGCTCAGTACATTTGCAACAATTTTGGAAGAAGTTTGTGTTGAGACCATTGAGTCTGGCTTCATGACCAAGGACTTAGCCGCCTGTATTAAAGGTTTACCCAAGTAAGTACGAGCTCTTCTTTTCTCTGTTGGAAGTGCTGCCTTTCCTGAAACAAAACCTGACCCAGAACATTGCTTACTAGAATTTTATTAATTGTTATATGATAGAAGGGCAGAATGGTTCCAAATCCTGACTCTCTCACTCGTACCTTTGTGACTGTAGATAAGTCATTTAATCAGAGGCTTAGTTTCTTAATCAGTAAATTGTGGAGGGAGGGGGCTAAGGTAATGCCTGCCCTACTTACTTCAAATGGTTTTGTATAGATTCAGTGAGATAATGAATGTGAAAGTTTTCTCTAAACTGTAAGGTGCTGGACAGGGGTGGAAGAACCCCAGCACATTGTATGGACTCCTTGAGGTGGAATTACGGAAATGCATAGACAAGAGTTACACAGGATGGGCAGGCATGGAATGAGGTGCAATTGGTATTGTTGGAGGGTATACCCACCTTAATAAACTGACAGATGCCCTGGAGTATGAGGTGTTGATACTAAAAAAATGCACTATGGAAGGTAGTAAGGAAGCAAACATTTATTAAGTGCCTACTGTGTGCATCAGGCTAAATGCTGAGAGTACAAATATGAGCAGAAAGATAGTTCCCGCCCTCAGGGAGCTTACATTCTAGTGGGACAAGACAGTACACAAAAAAACAGCTGAAAAATGTGGGAGCCAGGTACAAAGAATGGGGAGGTGGAAGGTGTCTGATGGGGCCATCCATGATTTAAATCCAGAGAGTCATGAGCAGGTCTCAGAGAGAAGTAAAGGCAGATTATCCTGGGTCCCCCCACTAAATGGAGAGTCCAGGATGAACTCGCCAGTGGGAAGGCAGGCCTTGCGAAGGGATAGTCCGCCTTCCCACTGGCGAGTGTACTGTCCGTAAAGTCAAGAAAAGGACCAGAAGGGGAAAATACCAATGGCAGTATTTTCATATATTTTATTTATTTGAAAAACATCTGGCAGCCAAATTCTATTTAATTACATCTAGCATCATAGGGAGATGGATATTAGCAAAATCTCATTGAGTCTCTCATTTAAATGCAGGTGAGGAAACTGCTAGATTTTCTAAGCAATAGAAGTACAGGATAACTCATTGAATACAGCCTTCTCACTAATTGGGTCTGACATTAATGCCAATAAATAGTAGTAGAGTATGCGTACAGTAGTGCATAGTACTTAGCACTCTGCTGATGCCCCACGTTCATCTCCTGAGAAAACGTCTCCATCCCTCATCTCCTAGGGACTCCTCCTCAGGAATATAGCCAGGACTCCATTCTGTAAAGAGCAGACTTGAAGTTGTTTGGATGACAACAATGATATTGGAATAGCCAACCACTGAGTCTCTTTTATTTAAAAAAAAGAAATCTTACCTTCCAGTGGCAATAATGAATTTTCAAAATCATCTTATCACTTCTGTATTGAAGTACAGAACAACTTATTGCAGGAACTACCTACTTGGCCTTTGAGGGTAGGCGCAGGTCCACTGCAGTGTTGGAGCCAATACTTGTGATAGAAATGTAAGCCCTGCAATGATTTCAAGGGCAAGTGAGAACTTCTTGGCATGTGAATGAAAGGGTAGTAGTGGGTGGGCTAGAGTATGACAGCCAAAATAGAGGTGTCCCTCCGACTCCAAGGTTATGACTATTACCTTGCTCAACTGTAGCTGGACAATAAAGTGCTTTGACCTAAAGGGCAAAGAAGTCTAGCGTTCAGGTGGAAATAAACCAATCTCAAGTGGTGTTGCTGGGGACCTGACTCTGTAGAACCATGAATAGTGTAGTGAGTAGGCATTTGATCTGCCAAGTGCTAGGGATACAAAGAAAGGCAAAAGATATTCCCTGCCCTTGGGGAATTCACAGCAACATGAATACAAGGATGTATAAACAAAATATGTGAAGGATAAATTGGAGATATTTTCCAGTGGCTTTGTTCCTAGGGATAATTTTCCTACTCCTACACTTGTAGGATATTACCACTTTATAAGTCAGTCTCATTGAATGTTTTTGTTTTTTTTTCCTCTAGTGTGAAGCGATCTGACTACCTGAATACATTTGAGTTTATGGACAAACTTGGAGAAAACTTGAAGGCCAAACTATCTCAGGCTAAACTTTAATACCGCATCTCTGCTCAACAAAGAGGCTGCCCCCCATGGGGTAACTAGTTTCTTTGGTTTACAGTTTTTCTGTATGACACTTAAGTTTTAAATGAAATCAATTTCATCATTTCTCTAGATGACAAGTTATCTTTTCTATGAGTTTACAAACTTTTTTATATGGCTCCTTCCAGTTTACCCACCACATTTAATGTGACAGGAGACCTTTTTTATATAGCAGCCAAGAAATTACTTTCTTACCGATTTTTTTGTTGTTATTATCCTCACTGTCATTTTTCCTTGTCCCCAGAAGTAGATGACCAAAATCAGGAGTATTTCATACGAAAGGAGAAATGTGGCAGCCATGGTACTATGTTGTAAAATCAGTTATAAATAAGACCCAAAGTTCCTCCCTTCCTGGCCTGTTTGTGGACCAGGTCACTGAATGGTTCTGGTGTTAGCATATATTGCATCATGTGAAAAGTAGACTTGACAAAGTGAATTTCTATATGAATCAGGAATGAAAGCATGACTGTAAGGTAGACATGTTAAGAAGCTTCTTTAAAGAGCTTTTGTTGAATGTTTAGAGATGTAATTTTTTTTTAAACAGGGCCCACATGAGTTAGTATTTTAGAACAATGGTGACTTGCAGATTGCCCTCCTTTCCTTATGTGGTGCAATAAGTATTATGCTACCAAAAAATGGCATATTTCACCCAGGTGCAATAAAACAAGCTGCTTTTTTGGACCCCTGCAGGCCTGTTTATTTCTTTTGTATAACTATGGATGTTTTAGAATTATTGTTAAACACTAATTTCACCCTGGTCTTTGTCTGAACTGTAATGTAATTTTGAATTAAAATTTAAGTCCTAGTAACTGTGGTCATTGTTGTTCTGAGTCTTAAGGGTTCCAGGAATGCAACTGCTGAAAACTATGTTTGACATCATAGAAGTCATCCTGTTAAGAATACCCCAGTAAAGTTGTTTTCCCTAATCTTTTGCCCCACAGCCAGTTCTATACTGAATTGAGAGGGAGGAAGCATATGAGTCCTGGATCCTCATAGTCTTAGCTCATTTCACAGCCAAGAGAAGAGAGGGGTGGGATGAGACCAAAATGACTAAATCTAGTATTAGATTAGGTTCAGAGATATGTGTATATTATCTCCAAATGCATCCTGAATTATTTATACAAATAGGCACACTTAAACTGTGATTGGGACTCTCTAATAAATAGGAAACTGTCAGGAAATTTACACATTGGGGTCTCATTGATGTCTCATCCAAAAGAGACTTCTTTTGTCAACATAGGAGCCATGCCATGATTACTATTTTTTGGTGATTTGGGGTCATAGGTCCCAGACTGTTGGAGCTAGGAGGAGTCTTAGCCATCATTTAGCTCCACCACCTGATTTTGTGGAGCCTGAGTAGGAAGGACTCTTAAAGGCAATCTAATCCAACCACTGCCTATGCAGGATTCACTCTCACTTCCTTCCGAACAGTTAATATTCCTGACACTCTTTGTAGGTCTCCTATAAATGGGAACCCTGAACCTCCAAAAGCAACCCATTCTGTTTTGGGTTGGCTCTCCTCGTCAAGATGTTTGGCCCTACATCAAGACTAAATCTGCCTCTTTGTTCCGAAAAATATATATAAAATTTGTATGGACTTGGAAGCTCAAGCATATTATGTTGTTATTATTATGTGGGCAGTGATGAATCTCATAAACTAAGAAGATCTAACCTCAAATAAATGATTACTGTGTACAGTGAACATCAACATGCATCTAACTGATTATTTTGCCTTAGAAGTCTAAGGCAAATCTTTTAATAGTGATAATTCATTTATTTAGAAATCAAACATCTGCAACTAAAGACCATCTAGAACATAGCTTTGAAACTAAGAGAAAAAACCATTGAGGAAAACAGCTATCACAAAGCCCATGCATTTTACTTGTAGTAAAAGTAATGAGATTAAAGGGGGATTTAAAACCCTATATGAAATTCAGCATAGGAGACATCATGAACATGTATGCTGACATGTAGCAGCAAAATCATTAACTGAAGCAAGTAAACCTATATATACTAATAATCTCTAATGTCCTCAGTGTGTTATATAAAGTACAGTATAACAGATATTCATAGAGATGATCCCGGTCACCCAAAAAGGTAATATTATGTTAGACATAGTAAAGTGCAGTGGAAAGATGTCTAGAGTCAGAGGACCTGGGCCTGAATCTGGCTCTGCATCTTATTACCTATTAGACTATGGGCCAAGTCTCTCTTCTCTGGGCCCCAAGTTCCTTATCTCAAAATAGATGATCCCTATGAGTCCCATCCAGCTTTCCTTTAAAAAGTCATGCATTTTTCAAGAAATCAGGAAGATGTATAATTTATATTTAGGACAATTGCCGTAAGAAAGGAACTTAAAGTTCTTAAAAGGGATCGATCAACATTTATCTAGCACCTATTATGTGTCAGGCACTATGCTAAGCACTGGATAAACTTCAGTTATCTGGAAAAATCACTTCCTCAACAGTTTGGACAAAAAAAATTTTGACAAAGTTTTCATTAGTATTAAATTGTCTTGTTAATTCCAAGATGATTTTTAATGTATTTTTCCCATACTTTTATCTCACTCGAACTTACTCCTGTCATAAAACTATACTTTGTTGTTATTGTTCAGTCACATCCAGCTCTTCATGAACCCATTTGGGGTTTTCTTGACCAAGATACTGGAGTAGTTTGACATTTCCTTTTCCAGCTCATTTTACAAATGAGGAAACTGAGGCAAACGGGGTTAAGTGAATTGCCCAGGGTCACACAGCAAGTAAGGATCTGAGGCTGGATTTGAACTCGGGAAGATGAGTCTTCCTGATTCCAGACCAGGCCCTCTATTCACTAAGTCACCTGGCTGCCCAAATTTTGTTATGGTATCCCTTCTACCACTATTAACACCACCACCCCAAATGGAATAATACTTTTTTTTTTTTTTGGTTTTTTTTGGTGAGGCAATTGGGGTTAAGTGACTTGCCCAGGGTCACACAGCTAGTGTCAAGTGTCTGAGGCTGGATTTGAACTCGTCTTCCTGACTCCAAGGCCAGAGCTCTATCCACTGTGCCACCTAGCTGCCCCTATGCTTTATACTTTTCAAAGTGACTTTCATATTTACATTCATATTTCATCCCCACAAGAGCCTTTGGTAGTAGATAGGGCAACTATTATCCCTAATTTTATACCTAAAGAAAACAGAAATAAAAAGCTGATGTCTCTGAAGACATGACTAGTTGGTAGCTGAGCTGAGATCCCGAGTCTCCTGTTGTGCTAGTGTTCTTTCCACTACACCATACCTGCTGCCTGTCTTTGGACAGAAACAGATAAAGCAATATTCAAAAAATTTGTTGATATGGAAGTTTTTCCCAAGGTCTGCTCAACAACAGCTGTCCTTAAATCAGTTATTATCTATTTAGTATTGCTGTCTAGATTAGTGACTGCCTCTCCCGGATCACTCTCTGGAACCGCCTTAGGCTCCGACAGATTGAGCTTTCACCTTCTTTTGCTGGAAACCAGGCTTTCACCTGATTTCCCAGCCACTGGGCCCAAACTATGCCACCATATGCATAATTCCACTCCTCTACCTCCCTTTCTAGCTTCCCTTTATATGTTGTCTTCGTTATACTATATGCTTCTCGGGGACAGCTTGCGTTTATATCCTCAGCAGTTAGCAGAGTGCCTGGCGTATAGTAAATACTAATAAATTATCTTTATTTAACTATGTATCCTATCTATTAAAAGCCCCAGTCATGCTTCACTTCATCCTCCTATTCTCTGACTATATCCTCTGTAGCATCACTGACCATTTTGCCATCTTGGCCCTTCACAAATCATACCCGTTGCCCCCGCGTCCTGGAATCATGAACCATGATCAAATCCACTGTACCAACGTACCTGGATGGGGTATGTCAATGTAGTTCCCAGTGGCCCCTACAAGCCATCTCAGTAACTTTCAGCAACAGCATCATTCCTTCTTTGTCTCCCCCTCTTAAAATGTAAATTCCTGGAGGGCAGAAATTCTGCTTTTGTATTTGTAGCCCTAGAGTTTAGTACAATGCTTCGCCCATAAGAGCTTAATAAATGTTTTTGCATCCACTCATTTATTCCACAACTTATAAATTCATAGATTATATCCTTTTTTATTATTCTTTCAGTCTTAAAAAACAAAAAAAACTGCTGTGCAAATATCCCCTAATAAAGACATCAAAATTGTTGACCTGGCCCGAAACACAGGAAATGGAAAATCAGACTTTCTGGGTGCCATCTTCAAAAGTATGTTTCGGTTGATTGGAGAATGATATATTCCTACTGGTGGCAGGGACGGTAAAAATATGTCTGTGAAAGATCCCAATCAATCAACAAGCATTTATTAAGCACCTACTATGCTCTAGGCACAATCCTAGGTGCTAGGGATATAAATATAAATAAATGAGAGTCCTTATCTTCAAAGGATTCACATTCCATTGGGATGCTCATGGTGTTGGAGGTTGTTCTACCTTTAGAATAAATTTGACTTCCACGACTTGGGGATTGTTGGGAAATTTCATATAAACTTTTAAAAAATGTTATGGATGATTTTTAAAATTTAGTGAGCAAGTTTAGTTTGGTTAAATCTATGGATGGCAATAAAGTGTAAGTTTTCCCTAATAGAGCTATTTTTAGAATCTATTCTCTAAATGTATTTACATTTTTACATATGAGTGATGCCCTTATTCATCCATATCTAAAACAAACAAAAAAAATTAAACCCTTTCATATAAAGTGGAGAATTAAAAGATTTGTCTTTATTTTAAACTTTAGTTTTAATATATTTTTAAAAAGTGCAAAATGAAGAAATAAGCCATGGGGTTCTATCAAACCCTTAAAATACCACTGGCTCAAAATCTGTTATGTGTGAAAATAAGTTTTTAAATAAATTAAAACCTTTTAAACTCTAAATTTTGTGATACTCATAGCTCTTCCTCTATTTGGTGACTTTTACTATTTTTCATTATTCCCTTTCTTCTGTTTATTGGAGAATGAAGAAACAGTGCATCTGTGAATGGGTCTCCACGTCTCAATTTGCTGTAGAACAGGAAAAAGAGCATCATTTTTCTTCTCCTTTGCCCAGCAGAAAGTTATTTTAGTGCAGAAAGTTGTAAATGCCTTTTAGAAAGTCCTAATCTAGTAGGATTTTGTGTGGACAAAGGGTTCATTTCTGAATGGTTATAGCACATTCTCTGTTGCTATTGGCATTTATTTAATCATTTATTTAAAGAGACCTGCCTCAGATTTCAACCTAACCCTAAAAACTCACCTGGAAATTATTTGCTGGGGTTCAGGCATTTTGCAGATGTGGCAACCTTTTTTGGTAGCATGGTGCGTTAAAAAGAATACCAGATCTGGGTTCAAATCCTGCATCTGCTACTTACTAGCTATGTGAACCCTTTCTGGGCCTCAGTTTTCTTGTTTGAGAAGTATTAGGGCTAGATTAGATGATTTCTAAGGCTCCTTCCGTATGTCAATCCCAAGATACTATGAAATATCTTGGACTGGATCTATGATTTCAATGATGTATAGGTAGTACCCAGTGAGAAAAATCCCTCTCTCAATACAGATCACAACTGTTCCTCAATTTAAAGTTTTAAGAGAGTTGCCTAGAGTATTAAGAGGTTAAAAGACATGATTAGAATTACACACAGGGAAATGCTATTAAGTGTTTTCATAACCAACTTTCCTCAAAAAAAAATTTAATCTGAATTATTAACATATTCTCCATCACTTTCTTAAATGTAAACAATCACCAAACAATATGCATCAGGCTCTGATTTGTAGTGTTGACCCATTT